CATCTATGGTGCCTCTCCGTTTTCTTTTCTCACCATGGATAACGCAATAGACAAGGATAGAAATAGACAGATACAAGAACAAAGAATAAAAGAAAAATAAAGAAGATAAAAGAAAAAGAGAGAGAAAGAGAAAGAGAAAGAGATAGAGAGAGAGAGAGAGACAAAAAAAAATGATTAAAAAAACTCGAACAAAAAGTAAGAAAGATAGAAAATGGAAAATTCTGGGAAAAATTTTTCCTTTTCATTTTTTTCATTTCTTTCTTTTTCTTTTTTTTTCTTTTTTTTTAAAGGAAAGGAGAGACGAGGAAGCGTATAAAGTCCAAGGTTGCGGCGACGCGATATCGATTCGAAAGGAAATGAAAAAATACGGAATAGAGGCAAGCGAAAAAGCAAAGCGTATTATCAATCTACTATATCTCTTTTTTTTTTTTTTTTTTAACTTTCTCTTTTTTTAATTGAGATACTATTCGAATCGTCGAATCTACGTATTCGATTCGAACGATCGAATCGTTAAAACGAGTTTCTCAATTTTTCTCGCGTTCGACTGACATGGACATACAGACGGACCTGAAGTATTTGTTATATATATATATATATATAACAATCCGAGTTTGTTAAATAATGTTTGAAAAAAGACACAAGGGAAAAAATTTTAATCGTCATCTTCGTTCGTTATTATATCGTGTCTTGGAATGATAATTTTTCTTTTTTTGTTTTTTCTTTTCACGCGTCTTTTTTGCAGAGGCACAGAAGCGCGGAACGAAGGAGAGACGAGAAATTATATATACGTATTTCTAGTATGTTCGCTATCGACGTTTCTCAACTCCATTTTAATTGAATTCGTCGTCAGCCTCGCATCCACGGTAATGTTTCCGAGGACCAGAAATTCCGTCCTCCCGACTTCTACGAATGAAAAATTATTCAACAAACAATTTTCATGTTCACAATAATTATTCAAATCATATTATGTCATTCGTGCTAGAAAAAAAGAGAGAGAGAAAAAAAAAAAAAAAAAGAGAGTGTAAAATCATATCGACGAGCCAGCTTACCG